AGAGAGCAAGTTCAGTTAACGACTAGCTCAGTGAGCTTGAACAATAGGACTCAGGATGCAGCTGGTGCAGACTTGTTCCCAGTCAGTTTGTCCCCTCCTACCCCATTCTTTAAGCGTAGAACCAAAATTTGTACAAAGGCCTTCAGATTCTTTTTTTCTCCACCCTCTGGCAAGAGGATGGGGGTTAAAAACACAGAGCAAGAATGTAAACAGAAAAGTAAGAGACTGCCCAGTGTAGGCTGCTTCTTCATTTCATATTATCTGATTTGAGGTGAAGCAAGGAGAAGCCTTCATTTAGGCAGCTATAAAGAAAGAAGATTGATTGAAACATAACTTTTGCTGCATTTCTTAGGAATAAGAGTCCCAGGTGTCTATTTTCATTATATTTTCTTTTTAATGGTTGTTCCCTATTCAGCCCATAAGCTTCAAGGTCAGCTTCAGGTCAAATTACACTTAGCATGAGATGCTCAGCATCTGCAAACCCAGATGTGGGATCCCTTCTCCCTCCTGACTTGCTCTGGGGTCTTCCATTCTGGGCTCCCAGCCTGGAAAACGATATTAGAGGCTTAGGGTACAAATTTTCATTTTTGCATTCAGATGCCATGGTGAATGCCACACTGGCAAGTGTGTTAAAAGGACAACAAATTACATCCTACTAATAGAATATGTAAAATCAATGAGTAAAGTACATGTCTTGGTACATTTAGACATGCTTAAGCTTGCAATTACTGACTGCTGGCAAAAGCCAAAGCATAAAGGATAAACATCAACATAGTAGTCACAGGGTCTCCTACAGCTTTACAAGCATGAGAATAGTGAGGGACAACTGCTTTTCTATCACAAAAAAAAAAAAAATAAATCTAGCAACAACTGGAAGGAAAATGAGACTATAAGAATATTGGGGATGAGAGGGTGGGGAGGAATACTCCTATTAACTAATCTTGGATAAAATCCAAGCCTTTTGAAAGCTGGCTTAAACACTGATGAACGTTTAGAGGGTGGGGGCCTGCACAGATTTTACACACACCTATTAGTGCACACTACATACAGGTACAGGCATTACCTGACATTTGACCCTACCTGTAAGAGTAAGTTTACTTGCCTTAACAGTACGGAGTCAAAGAGAAAATAGCATACATTTTCTTAAATAAAGATACTGTGGGGGAGCAAAATGAGGGGAAATATTTTAAAAAAAGGAAAAGAATTTAAAGCCACAACTTGAGAAAAATCTCTGAGAAATCTGAACAGCCCATGAGGCATGAGTTCAAGCTGTAAGATGAATTTTTGCACTGCTTTGTGTTCACTATAAAAGCCCTCCAGGAGCAGCAGTGATTCCAGTTGGTTAGAAAATGGCCAATAAGAGCACACTGAAAGCAAATCCTCTTTATTCTGGATGCTACTCCTGTTTATTCATCCCCAAAAGTGATACAAGCATCAGCGCTCATGGTGACCATCACCGTGAGAGGAGGAGAAACACCATCCTATCTTTGGATATGAAGGGTACTCATGTGAATATACTCTCTGATGACTGACTCTCCATTTCTGTCCCTGAACTTCACAACAACTTAAGAACCATCAGGAAAACTTCCTAAATAGGCTAACCTGAAGCACAGTAATAACTCCTAAAAGACCAAAATGGAAACAAAAGGTTCTTAATCCATCTTTTTATGAAGAGGCCCTCCAGTGCTTTGTCTGCCTTTTAAGGAACTGAACTACAGCTCAGCAGCTGCACCGTGTGTGAAATATTATAGCACTTGTTTTTAACTGCTGGGTGAGCTGCCTGATGATTCTAGGGAAGACTGGCTACTGCTGCAAGCACTCCACAGCTGGAAGGTGACAGAAATGTGTATCCAAGTTTATAATACTTGCACGTTTGCAGGAATGCAGGGCATTTGTATCCAAAATTCAGTTTTCAGTGGATTCTTCACAGTGGAAGATGAAGAAGGATGACCCAGAAACAATATAGCTCTGAATGGGGAGATGACCTTATATTTTTTTCTCTATAGTAACACAAAGATCCTTGCCTAGATTTATGATATGTGGGAAAAGCAGAGGACAAAGGGCCAGTAGACAGGACCAAGCATATCCTGATGTATTAAGGTGAGACAGGTCCCTGCTTCTCAGGGACCTTGCCTAATCAAAAAAATGGAGGATGTAATAGGTAGCTTCTGTCAGATCCCAGGAAGGTGGTGTTTGGGCTACACGGTTTTATGTCCCTTGGCAGAGACAAGGCTAAAGAGGTCAGGAACAGACCTGGCTAGCTCAAAGACAGGTAGAAAAATGAGTAAGGAGTCAGTTATTATCTAAGGGCTTTAAAGAAGAAGACAGAGCCTGAACTGAATAAAACCCAAGATCAACTGGAAAAAATATGAAGAACAAAAAAAATAAATAAATATCATAATTCATTATCTATTCCCCTATGGACTGGTTCTCCTGACCTTGGAAGTCACCTTTCTGCTCTTCCAAATGTGAGATGCTGTTTGCTTCTGGGGAATCTTTGGGATTAGCTTCCATATCTTAATACTTCAGGTGGTAAGCATAATCAAATATGCAAGAAGAAACCTCTCCACTAATAAAAAAAAAAGAAAAAATCCTGACATGTTCCATATGCACTAAGCTGGCATCTGGATATAAAATCTGCAACACCTAAATATGCCAAAAAGCTTCCTGAGACTTCAGAAATAAAATTCCTAAGTGTGCCCTCACTTGACTGCCAAAGGAATCTTTTTTATCCCTTCTTTTGACCCTCCTACACAGAAGTTTCCAAAGGTGGAGCAAGCACCCAATTTCACATTTGGCAGTGCTAGAAACAATGCTGCAATGGCCTTGAGATGGCTGGCATTTCTACTTGTCTTGACACTGATTATGCACACAAGGCAGCTTGGTCTGCACTGGGCAGAATGGCTCAGTGCCCTGCAGAGTTCAGTGCCTGCGGATCCATGCATTTCCAAACGAGCCAGGCATGCCTTAGAACTGCAGCCACAGCAAGTTTCTGATGAGCTTCTCCAAGACTGATACCTCCCTGTTATTTTTCTTATCTTTCCCACTCTCTTTTTGTTTTGTTTGGGGTTGCTTTTTCCCTACAAAACACAAAGTTTCTCTGAGACAATCAGAGCATGACTTCTATCTAGTTGTTTCATCAGGCTAAGCATGCCACCTGCTTTTACACATTCCCCCCCCCCTTTTTTTTTTTATTTCCCTTTTGAATAATCTCTCCATTATCAAAATAAAATAACATCATTTACAAAGTACCACCTCAGCAGCATGCCTCAGCTTTCATTTCACAGGGCTACGCCAGCAGCCACAAACAGAATCAAAGCAGCCAATTAAAAATCCATATTCATTAGCAAACATCATGTGTGCCATAATGCCCTGCATTGACTATGGCACCGCAGGAGATGGGAAACTCGCTGAGTTTCCCTGCTCTCAGTCTGAAGCATTGTTTTATTAAAGGAAGGGTTTTGCCTTTGCTACTCCACAGGCCAACAAGAAGAGGCCGAGTGTCCTGCTGGCCCACGGGGCCAGGGCAGCAGAAGTGACAGCTGTTGACCTTTTGCTTCAGAGAGACACCAGACACAGGACCTTGCCAGGATGAGGAGCACACAGAGAGGACCATGAACCCCGTGCCAGACCTTTCCCACAGAGGTCTTTAGGTACCGACAGGGCCAGTGGCAAAGCAGTCTGCAGCACCACGAGCAGACAATGTAATAAATTCTGCGTATGCTTGATTGATGCAACTCATCGGCTCGGCAGAGCCAGGTACAAGCTGCTTCAGTGAATTACCAAATTGCCCCTGCCCTTGTTGATTTACACCATCAACACTTTACCACTGCAGACAGCCGCATGCATAAGTACAGCCTTTCAGACCTGTACAATGAAGTTATACGAATGCGTGCCAGGGTTATTTATTTATTTGTACTCACAAGCCTGGGATTTACAACTCTTTATAAATACAAGCTGGGCGTTTTGCTTTCTATTTTTAGCAGGAATGCTCCATGCGGTAAACAGCTGTCAGCCACTGGGAGCTGTGCTCCTAGGAGCTTCACACAAAGAGAGGTCTCTTGGAATTCTGTTGGAGAACTAGGGTCACTGCTTTGTGGTGGAAAAGAAGCTGGAATTAGGAGCCAGCAAGAAAGCATAAGCAATTAACACAGAACCAATCCCAGGGCTTTTCCAGCCCATTTTGCTAAGAAAAGGAGCCTCATATGATCACATTGTATCAATTCTTCCCAAATAGGTTCAGAGCCAATTCTGATCGAGCTCAGCAAACATTCACAAGACTTGGACATAATCTATTCCTATTGCCTCAAAAAAGACAGGCAGCTGGGTATTAGATGAGAGATTTTGCCAATATCCTCACTGTTGAAGCGAAGACACTCAATGACCACCAAGTGTCAGTAAGCAGGTATTCTTTACTGCGGCACCAGGCAGCACAGGGGTATCTCCTCCTAACGTGTGCACTTGTTGAAACAGTGTATGCATATTATATTCACTCACAGTATACATTCATTATATTTCATGGAAAGGGCAAGTTTAAGCTAATTATTTCTCAGAACTCATTTACAAGGTTTCTGCCTCTTTGCACATGCATGTTGTCACCCAGAGGGTCTTCAGATGAAGGCTCAAGGTCTCCCTCTTGGTTCAACTTTTGAACTTCCCCTGCTGTGCATGCTCTCTGCCATCTCTGTTGATAGCCAGACCACTAGTCCAGTTTATACCACTTCAGTTCCTGTAACTGGTGTCTGAACCACAATATTGGATATATCACTTTGACATGAGGTACATCACGTGACTACTGTTGGTCCCAAAAATAATTCCTGATGTATGCTTTATTTCCAAAAGGTTACAAAAGGTTAAAAAGTCTACTACTTCATTTCACTATGGGAAAATCTGTCATGTGAGTTCAGCCTTCTATCACAGTCAAAGCCATCCAAACCAAATACACGCATCAACTGGAAAGCAGATCCCACCAGATCTGCCATCTCCGTGCAGACACTCACCTTGGCAGACGAAGGAAGATGGTGTTTCCCCTGGATGGACCCGTGCAGTGATGAACACCACCTTCTGTTCAGCCCCTGGACGCAGGTTTGCTGCAGAAGAAGGGGGGAGAGGGGAAAAAGAGAAATAAAGATCCTTAAACTCAGACCAAGATGCAGAAATAAAGGACTGTTAATTTTTAAAGCACACTCTTTTATTAAAAATTGCTCATGTGTCATAAATAGGCACAACCTGTAACCAAAAGAGGCAGCGTCACCAGGTCTCCATGCCAGGCCATGTAGCAGATTGCACAAGGGCTGCAAAACTAATGACGTGGAGCCAAACTTGAAACAACAAATTTGGCTCTCTTTTATAAAACCAAAATTCACTACCACGAGCTTAACTGCTCTCACTTGTGATAAATGTCCCCCTGGGGCCACAGGAATAGCTGTGGGGGTCCAGTCACAAGGTAAAGCGATTAGCACCCTGCATTACACTTGGTATGAGCCTTAACGGTGCCAAGCAACACTAAAGTGCTACAAATTACATCTATTAGACTTTGCTCTGGAGGAGTTGGAGGCTACTTTTCAAAAATCTGGTAACTATTTGGGACTGCATCTGCCCTAACTGAAAGAAAGGTTCAAAAATAAATAAAGTATGGAAAACAGGCCAGGATTAAATCCAGTAACCTTCTCAAGTGACGCCATGAAAATGTGTTGTGTCCCCATCAAATTACAGATAGGTGGAAGGGAGATTTAGATCCCAACTATACTGAACTTAATATGGGTTAATCCCTAAGTACTGAAACCACACTTTGAACTCTTGCTTCAGCCTTAAACTACATGGGTCAAACAGCATCTTTCCTCTGTTTGTGCTGTGACTGCATTTAATAAATAGGAAATAAAATGATGCTCTTTCAAAATGAGTTCTGGGAATTTTAATGACTATAAGAGGTCAGGGCCTCAGTTAGATGTCTTATCTCAACCTGAACACACACAGCAGGGGTAATGCTAAGCAGGCTCCAATTGCTAGAGACAGTTTAAATCTTTGTTTTGAAGTAAGAAGTTTACACACTGAAAGGAGAGTGGGAACTAAATCCAAGCTTTTTTTTTTCCCCCCCAATTCCAGTTACGTAGATGCATTGCATATATACCCAAAGTTAGACTTTTATTTTCGAAGACATTTCAGAGTCCTTAGAGCATAACTGAGCTAATTTTTTAATTCTTAGCAATGCTCAGTTTTCCCAACAGCACCTCACACCACCACAGGAATAATCAATGCATTTTTTGTTGCTCTCAGGAGACAATCACTGCAGGTTTCTCCTTTTATTTCCTTAGCATCTCTAGAAGTCCTACAGCTGCTCTGCCTGTAACTCAGCCATTCATTTGTTCTTTCATACACCAGCTTCACCATTCTCTGGCGGTTTTAAGCCCCAGAGACCAAAAAAAAAAAGTAAGAAGGAATGTCTCTGAGAAACACAGCAGCTGGTGGGGTCAGTTCTGTCTGCAGAAGAAAAGTGGGAGGCAGCAAAAAGGAAAACAACATTGTCTGGTAGAAGTCAATGACCATCCCACATCATTTGCATTAACATCAAGAAGTGTGGGAGGAAGGAGATAAATCAGCAAAACAACTTTAGAAAACAAAAGCAAAAGTCTGGCATCACTTTTGCAGGAGGAGAGAAGTTTTCCTCCCCTCTGGAAAAACCAGCATTAAATTAAAGGGACTGTGGCTCAGCATGAATGTGATGCTCAGCAGCATGACTACCACTCTTTGGATCTGGAAGAGCACCCTGGTTAGGAAATCTTTCGGACAGAGGATTAGTTTGGGGTGTTTTGTGGCCTTGTATTTGTTTGTCATCAGTTACAATACTGTTTTTATTTATGCTTCATAACAGTTATTACAATTATTATTATAATTCTCGCTATACAAGTCTATTTTAATAGGCAATAAATTAAATTTCCCACAAGTCAAGTCTGCTTTGTCCATGATGGCCATTAGTAAGTGATATCCCTGAATTTATCTTGACCCATGAGCCTTTCCATCTTATTTTTCTCACCCTGTCCTGCATAAGAGAGACCAGCTGGTTGGGCATCTGGCTGCTGGCCAGAGTTAACACACCACAAACAATTACAAAACACCATTTCATATTTTAATTTCAATGTTACATTGAAAATGCATCCTATTTTCTACTTCAGGATTTAAAAGATCAATCAAAATTAAGAAGATTAGAAGTCTATAGCTTTGCTTAGTAGATGCCAAAAGCACTTAAGCAAAATGACAGAAAGGCACAGTCCATTTAGCCACAACTTTCAGAGTTGTAGAAATACAGAGAAATAGTCTGTTGAGGTACCACTTCTACCCTTCTAAATGCCACAGCAGTGAATCTCAGAAACAAAACTATTTGGCAAAACCAGTTTTCCAAGGAAAGAAATGTAGACGCGCCTGGAATTGTTTCTTTTTTATTTTCTCTTCTGGAAAGTATCTTGAAGATTAAAATAAACATTTTCTTTTCCCTTTGAAGGCTACCACTACCATCATCATTGGTAACATTTGCCTTGACTTACGACTGGACCTAAACAATCTGCCACTGTGTTACACCCTCGTATCCTGCTCCTCACCCGCTGCCATCCTGTCTCTCTGCTGCAGAGGAGAATTCCCTTGGGCAAAGCTGTGAGGATCTAAGGTGCTGGTCAGAACAAACAACACCAACCTCAACATCTATTCTGGCTCTGAAGTTACCACAATGGTGATAAACAACAAGCAAATGTCACAAGGAAAAGAAATTCAATTAACAGTAAGCAAGCAGCTCAAATCTCTCATTCTGAATATCACTCGCACTGTTTGGCCCTCAACTCATGTTCCTTACCCTCTAATGCTGTTGCATGTACAAGCCAGTCACAAAGCAATCCCACTGGCCACACTCCCCCACCTTTCACCCAGGAAACAACAATTTCCACTCCTGGATACATATTACACTACAGCAACTAAAACAGGGTTGCACAGAGAACATTTTCTACTTAAAAAAAAAAAAAAAAAAAAAAAAAAAAAGAGTCTGATAAAATTCTAAACCTTCACAGGAAGGCAGCAAATTCCCTTATCCATTTTCATTCAATTTTCATTTTTATGCTACTATAAAAACATGAAAACGACAGTATTTTTATGTAGCAGCTTAATAATAAGTATCTAAAAATTTCAAGCAATTTCAATCCAATTTATGGAATTCCATTTGCACTACCAAAATGAAGTACTGTAACAAAACTGAGGTAGAACTTCACGTGGCATCCAGGATCTTTTTTACTATGGCATCAGATCAGAAATGGACAGCAGATTTGTGGTTTCTTTAGGTCTTGTACCCGTGGTGTGCTAATGATTTAAATTGACAAATCAGTAGTAAGGCTGATGGAGTACAAAGGATGAGCAAGTCTGACCCTAGAAGTCTGTTTCAGAAAGCCTTTAGACCGCTGCCCATCAGGAGAACTTGAAAGTGAATTTAACTGCTTTGTAGAGGACTTCAAAGCTGAGGCAAGTCACTAGAAAAAGCTTATAATCCGTAGAAGACCAGAAGGCTCTAATCAGAAGAAATGGAAACCCATCACCCTAAAAACATATGGGCAAATAACCATTTGATTTAAATACCTACATATATATTTAATGCAATATGTGCATCCATTGCAAATGAATTCCCTATTGTCTTCCTTTCTTGGGTACTTTGCAGTATGAAGTGGGCTGTTACCAGCAGTTTTTAGTCAAAACCCTGTGAGTTCAAGACTCCACTGAGGAAACCAAACAACTTTATTGCATTACACCTCACTGTGCCACCTTGGCTCATCTGTGTCCAACACAACCACGACATCTGCGTCAAAAGTGAACACCGATGTCGGTGCTGCCCCAAGTGCCTCATCCCTACCACGTTAAACTGCTTTAGCAAATCAAATCCAAGCAGCATTTACCGTGCTCCGGTTTTTCCTAAGAGACCAGGTCAGCACCTAATCCCATTTTTTTTTGTTACTTCTGGCCACAAACGTCATTTCAGGTAAGAGCGCACATCTCGGCAACACAAGAGCGCAAAACAACAACATTTTTGGTCACTACCAAATCCCGCTGGACTTGCTGAGGTGAGATACACACACACACGCTTTTCTTCCTTGCCTTCTTACAGCTGGCATGAGCAGTACAAAGAGGCTGAGACAGAAGGTCAAAATGAAGCCACTTGAGCCAAAGAGCAAAGACTGGACTACTGGGTCTGGAAGTCAGGCACCTATTCCTATGTACTTTTATCCGAAATGGGATGCAGCAGCATCTTGGCTCCCATGGTGGGGTAGCACTGCTACAGAGGATCCTCATTGCTCACTGACTCTCCTCACCTGCCACCACGTTCAGTCAAGCCCTGTCTGGAACACAGAGGGTTTTAATTCAGCAAAGCCTCACTTGTGCATGGAACCATCTACCCAGCAATAGTCCTGCACGTAATGCTCAAAACTGGATCCAAAACCTTTCAAGTCCCAGATTTTCATTCAGGCTCTGTCCCTGACTCTGTCAGGCGATTAAATACATGATTTGTTTGACGGACTTGTACTGCACTCAAAAAGGTGCTTAAACGCAATTTTGGCATGAGAGCTTTGCTGAATTGGGGCTGTCTTGCAGGAAGCCTTGCCTCTGAGATCATTGTCACAACGTTTTAAAGTTGGAGATTGCGCAACTATTATCCTTTATTGCCTGTTTTATGCCAAACTCTCTTTTTCTTTTTAAATTCCCCTTAAAAGCAAAGCTATTTTGGAGCATTTAATATTATTTAATCTCTTTACTCTGGCAGCATAGAAATTACAGGGACCATTACAATGGTCCTGTGTGAGCGTATGCTTTATTGATGTATATGCTGACCTAATATCAAATTGATTTTACTTAGCTTTTCTGCTGACCATGGAAAAATGCAAATTGAGTATTATATTTGCACACTAATTTTATTGGGCCCCTGTGTCTTCATAAAAAGATAAAGTTTGGGCTAATAAAAATAAAACATTTCTGGGGCTAATATAGGCAAATGTTTATGTAGGCAGGTAACAAATTGGTTTGTCATTTAGGGGAACATAAAGAGCACTAAAATCATCTTTAG